CATGCTTTTCAAGTTCATATGATCTAAAGTTAATCCTTAGTAAATGAAACCTAGCTTAAGTTTGCTAATTTAAGTAAAACAAACATGTCTGTTTTGTCCTGGGTTTAATTAAATTAAGTCCATGTTAATAACTGACTTTTATGTCTATGAAATATGTTTCTAGAGATTTTAAAATGTCTTCATAAAATTGCTAAAGAACACTAATTGCTTATTTCTCAGTTTTCATTAGAAATTGAGGTTTTAAGGATTAAAAATCTCAATATATGTAGAAACAACTTTGTGATGTTTCAGGAGGGCTCATCAAAACACCTCAAAAGACTTAAAATTGCATAGGAAGCATTGTAAAATAGCGATAAAAATATTCTAAGGTATATCAAGTAGGTAAACAATAGTCGTAAATTAAACAAGTAAATTGAGGCTATCGAGAACCCAATGTAGATGCTTGGTTCTTCCTGGCTCTTTGGCACCATCATAATGTATCTAAGTTGACCTTATGTGAAAGAACTGATGAACTGACATTATTGAAAAGAGACCTCTTACATTATTGTCAAGGTTTGATAGAATCATTTCATGAAAAGGCCAAGTTGGTAACCACTTGCTTTCACAGAGAGCTCCCAGGAGACAAAGACTTTAAATATAATTTATGCTGACCTCAAAGGGGACTGTGACACCAACACTTCCCTGCCTTCCTCTGTGAGGCTGTCTCAAGCAATTAGTACAGAAGGCTCAAACCTTAAACCTCCAGCACAACACACATATACACAGAGTAAAGATCATTTAACTGCCACCTGGAGATTTTGTTTATTGGAAAGGACATCAAATAAAAGACACTCTCCAACCTCATTGGAAGGGAATTTATCGGGCTCCTAACCTCAAATGGACATTTACCATTGTCTACAAACATCAAAGACTCCTTGAGGACAAGAACCTGCTGCCACAAGAGGTAGACAGCTATCCTAAGACATCTACAAGACCTGGATACTGATGGATTGATATTGAACTCAGAATCCATTTGTTTGATTGCTTTTAATGATACTAGTCATAATAACATTTATACTTGTTCTTTGGGTTTTCCTATATTGTCCAGTAGTTTATTATTACCTGACTGTATAACTTTTATTACTCTTTTCATTGCTTATGTAAATGTTATACTAGAAGCCAAATACAGAAAAGTGAGACAGAAGGCAAAACTCAGATCATGATAGTTCTCAGAATAGAACAATTCAATGTTTTTTCCTAATGAAGGGCATAAGACCTGACTGCCTTTAATGTACCTGCTCTTCCTTTTTGGGAAAAAATCAGCCAACTCGGATGTCATGGTTATAATATTGCCCCATCCCCAATAGTCAATAACACAATATCGATAGTGACACATCCTAGAAATGCCTTCCTAGCTCTGTGAGAACACACTATTGGACCAAAAGTTTGCTTACCAATGCATCCTTCAGACTGATGTATGATCAAAGTGGGTTAAGTGTGGATGAAAAAAAATGGGTCCTATGGAAAGTAACCTCATAAGGTGATCTGGTCATAAATTCCTAACTGGGCAGATCATAGTGGGTAGTGACAACCCAGGCCTATAACTTCTTTAGTGAAAGGTTTTAAGACAGCCCTGTCCATTGTTCTTGTGTATCTAGGTTAACATGCCTTTGAAATGCCTTAAGTAATACCCTTCAAAGGGGGTATTAACCCTCAAGAGAGCACGTAATCTTGTTAACTATCCTGTAATCCAATCCCACCTTGCTATCTCCCATCTCCACATACCTTCACTCATTATTTTCAAAAGCATAAAAGAAGCTACAAAACTGCTACCCTCTAAAGCATTTGTGATCTTGCTCCCTGGCATATGTCATCAGTTTAGCTCAAATGAACTCTTATAAAAGTTTTAAAATAATAAATATAACAGTATACCAAATAGGACATAAAGGTTAGTGTGGCAGGGGACACAGAGGGACCTATGTGGTAGTAAAGTGTCTCTCTACATTTTATTTGAAGTGATGTAATATTAACACTCACTACACTGTGAAAGTTTAGATATGTATATTGTGAGGCACAGAGCAACTACAAAAAAAGGGCTGTATCCAAAAAAAATATACATTAAAATGTAATATTAAGAAATACTCAAGTCAAAAGAAGGAGTAAAGTAATAGAAAAAAAGTAAGGAAGATCAGAAGACAAATAATAATAGGCCTAAATCCAACCATATCAATATTTACATTAAATGTAAATCATCTAAACATATCAATTAAGAGATTATCAGATTGGAATTTTTTTAAAAAACCTATGTGTTGTCTACAAGTAAATCACTTTAAATATAACAACACTGAAAGATGAATTAAAAAGTGGGAAACGATATATCACAGAAAACTAATCAAAAGAAAGCTGGAGTATCTATATTAATGTGAGACAAATAGATTTCAGATAAAGGATATTACATGAGATAAAGAGAAATAGTACATAATGACAAAAAGAATCAATTTATCAAAAACATATCATTCTAGCCCTGGCTGGTGTGGCTTGGTAGGTTGGAGTGTCACCCTGCACACCAAAATGTTTGATTCCTAGTCAGGGCATATACCTAGGTTGCAGGTTCCATCCTGGTCAGCATGAAGCAATCGATGTCTGTCTGTCTGTCTCTCTGTCTGTCTGTCTCTCTCACTTTCTCTCTCTCCCCCTCCCCACCCCCTCCCTCCGCCTTTGAAATCAATGAAAAAATGTCCTCAGGTGAGGATTAGGGAACAAACCATTATCATCCTAAATGCATGTGCAACCTAACAACAGAGCTTCAAAACATATAAAATGTGTTAGGAAAAATAGACAAATCCACAATTACAGTTGAAGACATCAATACTGCTCTCCCAGAAATTGTAGAATTAGTAGAGAAAACCAATTAAAATTTAACAGACTTAACACTATTAACCAACTTGGTATAATTGTAATTTATAGAACATTTCACCCAACGACGTACATTAAATTTTTTAAAATAAGTGAACACAGGACATTCTGGGGCAAAACAAATCTTTATGTTTTCTCACCATAACTGATTTTAAAATGTGCTATAAAGTAGCTCACTCTGTTATCACTTGGTGTATTTTCATGGTTAGACTTGGCAATTTTATTCATTCAACTTATGTATTGCTACATAAACCAAATTGACGTATTTCCAAGTTACTTCATAGATTAGTAGTGACTTAAGTGCTATTAGAGAATATTTTGGTGCACAATACACATCTGAATTATCAGTTATCTTTACTTTCGATGGAAATAAATCCAAAAGGCAAAGGAACTGTCATCATATTTACAAGGTGCTGGAATGGAACAATAGTTTCATTTTGGACGTTTTGAAAACTTAGGCAGCAATTCTTTAATTCTTAAGTATTCCTTTTTTTTTTTTTTGGTTTGATGTATGGTATGAGAATCACTATTTCAACTGTTCCTGTAAAACATTCTTGCAGTCATAGGACCTTGAGTAAAATATACCTAGAAGAATTTTTCTCCACCAAGGACTACCTAGTAATCTCTCATGAAATTCTTTCTGGAAACACAATTTGGGAAATGCTGCCTTAAGGTTTACTTTGACTAGTGATTCTTTTCTTTTCTTTTTCTTTTTTTTTTAAAATAAATTGTCTGCTCTGGAGTAACATAGTGTTGTGAAACTACTAAAAACAAAAACAAAAAACCACTGGTTCGAGAAAAATATTTAAAGACACAGACCACTGGAAAGTGAGATGAAAACCAGAGCTTAAGAAAACACAATACAGAAATACAATCAAATGAAACTATGACCACATACAAGTATGGATCTCATTTATGATTGGGTATGAATGTGTAGTGCCAGGTTTTAGCTCTGCTTGACAAGTTGGACTGTAACATTTCTGGGGTTGGTCACTTCCAAGTCTACTTCAAAATTCAAGGGAGAGCCAACCTTTGAGGGTTTGTATCACGGGTCCTATGCCTTTTCAGTACAATGAAAGACCACTAGGGGGAGAAACACGGAGAAAACTGGGCCCTAATCGTGATCTCAAAAGGCAACAGATCTCATTACGGGGTTCTCTAGCAGAAAGGGGTTTCTGTGGTATGCAGCACCAAAGCACCACCTTGAATCTGATGTATAGCCAAGATGGCTTTTCTGAAGTCTCCATGGGAACTCCAGGGGCTGAGAGGGGGGAGGCACGCATTCTGAAAAGTCAGCATTAAATCCTACAAGCTGATTTAAATCTGGGGGAGGGGGGGAGGGGGCGAAGGGGACATTGCAAAAGGTCTCCCCAGAGTCAAAGGACTGCAGAGGGCTGTGGCAGGGCATTACTCTTTTGGAATGGGCTACAACTTAACTTTACGTTGGCAGAAGAACGCTTTGTAAAAGTCCTTCTTTCTAGTATCTATAACCACTTCTGGTTAGCCACCGAAAGGCAGCGGTTAGCCACCGTGCCCCCTTTTCTCGCCCCCAAAGAAGAGGATATCTCATTTCCTCTACGGGCATAAAGTGAATGAACTCACTTGCTCCCTGTACCCCCCTTTCATCTCTACCCCAGGATGCCTGATGCTCGTAGAAACTGATATATGACACACTTGCCATCCTAGGATGACACACACCCTCACCACGGAGCGTGAAATACACGGACGCCAGAAATACAGCCCCAACACCACCCAAACTTCGGGCGGAAAAGCAAGGCGCAGCCGCAACAACACATTGTTACCCGATTTGCCCACTTCCCACTCCTGGCCTCCGCAATTTCACTTCCCCTTTTGCACATCTGCTTCCGGGGCATTGTAGGCCCTGCCCCTCTTCAGCTCCTACCCTCCTCCGCCAGAGGAGGGGGGTAGTCAAGGGGGTGGGGATGAGTTCGTTGTTTGTTTACACGATGTGAGCGGAAAAGGAGACCAATAAAGTTTATTCTGGAAACAAAAGGAAAAAAAAAAACAGGGGTGACAGAGAAAGGAGACGGGGGTGGGGGCGTGTGGCGGGGGCTAGCTAGGAGAGGGAACGAGAAGGAGAAAGCGGCAGTTCCGGTGCCGCCGCTGCGGCCGCTGAGGTCTCGGGCTGCTGCTGCCGCGGCCGCTGGGGCTGGGGCCGCCGGCGAGGCAGGGCTCGGGCCCGGCCGGGCAGCTCCGGAGCGGCGGGGGAGAGGGGCCAGGAGGCGGGGGCCGTGCCGCCCGCTCTCCTCTCCCTCGGCGCCGCCGCCGCCGCCGCCGCCCGCGGGGCTGGGACCCGATGCGGCTAGAGCCGCGGAGCCTGGAGGAGCTCCGAGCGTGAGTAGAGCGCGGACTGGCCGGGAGCGGGCGCGGTCGTGATGGGGCCGGGTGGGTGCCGGGGACTCTCCGGCGCGCCAGCCGTATTGGGCGGGGGCTGCTGCCGGTTGTCTCTCTCAGTGTCGGGCCGCAGCGGAGTTCGCCTGCGAGCGCCGCTCCCTCTCCCCGGCCTGCCACTGGCCTCACCCAAATGCAGAGACCAGGGCTCCCTCTTTTCTCCCTGTGGCCGCTGCCTCGCTCCTTGTTTCCTTCCTCTCCCATTTTTGGTGATGGGGCGGCTGGGAACTGAGGAAGTGCGCCCAGGGCCGCCGCCCCAGCCACGGTAGCTGGGTCCCCGCGCCCTTGCACGCCCACCCGGCCCTTGGGTGGCAGGGCTGACCCGAGCACCGCGGCAGGAGGGATCCCGGCGTGGAGCCTTGAGCTGGTCCTAAGAGGCTGTCATGCCCAAGGAAGGACTCCGGCCCCACCAGCCCGGCGACCCTGAGTTTGCCTCATACTGGGTTTAAATCGCCCGGCTGGGGCTTGAAGGAAAACCGCTTCCCCACCCCTCAGTTCCCCTCCCACCCTTCCTCTCGAGGTTGTTTTTTCCCTTTTGACGGTGACAATTAAATGTATTGGATCTTTCATTCATAGACCTGAGACCTTGTCTCGTGATTTGTGTCTCCACTAAGTCTATTCTGTGATGCCGGTTTTATAGCTCTAAGTGTTTGGGGAAGACAGGGTAGCGTGCCCACGACCGCGGCTCGAGTGGTTTATTTTAGGATGCTAAAGGAATAGTAGTGATGGTGGCTAGTTACCAGACTTGGGAATCGAAAGCTACTTTCTTAAATGTCAATAACTGGGGAGCTGTTTACATAGCTACGTGAAAGGTAAAGGGAGCGCAACAAGAGGAAGCTTTTAGAAAACAGCCTGCGTATTCTTTAATGAATTAGAGTTGTGATTTCGTTTTCTGGTGAAGCTTCCTCATTTTAGCGCTGCGCCTTTATGCACATGCTGGACGTGGGTTGGCGTGATGATGTTTTGAATCATAGTTTGTGAAGCCTGGGAGAACCAGGCTAGAAAACTCGGGTAGGTAAACTGGTAACTCAAGTCGGGTGTTTTCTAAGACTACGTTTGAACCATTGCGGGCAATATTGGTCGCATGTTTCCCTGCTTAGAAGGTGGATTCTCTTGTTATTTGCTTATATTACACTGTACAAAATTTATGTGCTGAGTTGCCTGTTAAGATCGCGAAATAGGATACCATGTTGCCAACTTAATTTGGATAGATTAAAACATTTTATACTTTTATTAATGGACTCGAATTAATTGCAGCATAAGAATTTGTTAATTCGTATGCGTGTTCAAGTTTTAAGATTTTTGAATTCTGATTGACAGCATAGATCTCTATCTAAACATCACATGTTCTGGAAAATTTTAAATATCAGAATAACTGTTCTGCAGTGTCATCAACCAGAATTATCTGACGAGGGCCCAGCTGTGTGTGTGTGTGTGTGTGTGTGTGTGTGTATTTTTTTTTTTTAGTTTTCTTATCCTGTGTTTGAGATAAAATTAAATAAAATTTCATTGATAACTTTTTTCCAAAAGTTTCTTGTGCCTTTTTCACCATTGTAAATTAAGTTATTTAAATAAATGATAGTGCCTTAAAATAGTGATAGCATTATAGTGAAAATAGCAAGAAAAGAAATGAGTATTAATATTTTATCATTGACTATGAGTATAAAGGTTGAGAGACATTGCTATGAATTTAAGTTGAAGAATTGAAAACGAACCACATACAAATGTAGAAAAGTGTTTTTACGTACCTAATTTTATAAGTATAAGTAAATTGGATATAACATTAAAGAGATGTCACTAAGTACAAATACTGTACTTAAACTAAAGAATTACATGAAAGTGTATGTTCTCACGGGGCTCGATATATATATGAGGGAGACTGTAAAAGAGCAGTGGCTTTGCCCAGCTCTGTGTATGGAACAGTCCTTCTGGAGGCAGAGCTTCCTTCCTGTCAGGATAAGATCCTCTCCATCCCAAATAAGTATTCTCTGGAAAAAAACAAACAAACTAAATTTATAAATAAAATACTTATATAATAATGTAGATAATAATAACCTTTTTTTCCTAAAACAATTTACTTTGTGTGTAACTTTTTGTATTAGTATTGTTTATTGAGTAAAAATTTTTAAGTATTTGCTGTTACCATTTTAAAAAGCATTTAATCTGTTGATTTGTTTATTTGAACAGAGCTAACTTAATCCCATTTGATCTCTGTAGCAACTAGAGTAACATTAAAGGATCAGTTATTGTATTATTTTAATATCTTGAATGCCAAGGTAGTGGTGTTTCTTTAAACAAAGCACCATAAAAGATTTCATCTCTGGTAAAAATATTTATGATCTTAAAAACTGTGCAACTTTTTAAGCTTAAATCTTGGAATATCATGGTGTATATTTTATTAGCACAATTTCAAGATGCTTTCTTAAGGATCATTTATCCTGAGCTATACAACAATTGATAAACAAGGCAGGTCTCTTATCTCTGAGAAGTAATATTTTAATCTAAACTCAGACAGGTGTCAGATGACAGGCTCATTGACAAAAACCAATGTTTTCTGACTCCTTTCACTATATCATGCCACTTCTAATCTACTCCAACCTGCCTTTTAATAGATAAGAAAGTAGAGCCCACAGAAGTTTAATTACTTGAGATAGCCTCTTATTTGCAATATATTTTTAATTCACTATATAGCTTAAACAGTGGTTTTCAGTCTAGGCTATATATCAGAATCATCTAATTAGCTTTTTTAAAATGCTAGTGCCAGAGTCTCATTCCCAGAAATTCTGATTTAATTGGTTTAAGATGGAATCCAGACATCTATGTTTTGTTTGTTTTAAAGTTCTCCAGGTAATTCTAATAGACAAGATTTTAAAGCCCTTGCTTTCAGGGACCTGTATGATTTGGTCCCTCTCTGTCTAGGTACATTTCTCCTTCCTGTTACAGCTCTTCCTGAAATATATGTATACTCCATTCCCCATCCTTAACTAGCTGACTCCTACTCATCTTCCATATCGCTTCCTCTGAAAGTCTAGTCTGAATTAGATGTCCCTGCTTCCTGTTCCCATAGTATCTTGTACTCCCACCATCATAGCATTGACTCACTGCAGTATAATTGCCTATTTATTTGTCTTATCTTCCACGAGGATGCAAATAGGGACTCCTTCTTTCTTATATACAGTTATATTCTTATTGCCAAACATAGTAGCTAGTATATAATAGGCACTTTATTATGAATAAACAAGTATATTGGTAACCAACTTCTTTACAATATTTAATAATTTATAAATACCAATTAAATTTGTATTCTTGCCAAATACATTTAATAATTTTGGTCACTAAAAATGTATGCCCTTGAACTTGCCACATAGGAATTTCATTTGGAGACTGTTGTGATGTTATACATTATATGCAGATTATAACAACAGTGACACATTCAATGTCAAACACACACACACACACACACACACACACACACACCCCATTATGAAACACAAACTGCAGTGGAAATCAGGAGACTGGAATTCAAATCCTGTTTTACCATAAGTGTTGTATAATTGGGAAGCCTCATTCTCTTTGGGCCTCAGTTTTCTCGTCTGTAACACAAAGGAATTGTACTGGTGCTTTATGTGGTACTAGTGTTCTAGCCTTAAAATCCTGTGAGTACTGCCCTGGCTGGGCAGTTCATTTGGGTCCTGATCTGCCAAGGCTGCAGATTGCATCCCAGGTCGACACATACAAGAATCAACCAATGAGTGCATAAATAAGTGGAACAACAAATCTGTGCTTCTCCCCCCCCATCCTATCTCTCTCTAAAATCAATAGATAAAAATAAATCCTATGAGTACTAAAAATATTGGCTTGGGAACCTGAAGCTCCTAAATTCAAAGCCTGGCTCTTAAACTTTCTGGCAGAATTACTTTGGACAGGTGTCCTATCTGTATAATAGGAGTAAATGCTACTCAAAAGTTGTTGCATCAAATGAGATATATAGATAAGAGAGTTTTTGTCCTGGATCAGGTGTTTAATAAATATTCATTTCCTTTCCCCTTCAGAGTATTAGAACTCATGAATTGACTTATCTGAGACAACAAACACAGTTTGTGTATTAAGTCCTATTTTTTCACTTTGCCTACTGTTAACATCACAGGTGTTACTAGTTACCAAAAACCACTGTGGCTTTTAGTTTCTTTTTATCAGAACCCTATTCCATTCTCAAACACCAAGGTGTTAGTTAACCTGCTGGGGAAATAATTATGCCTAGAAGTTTGATACATGAAAGCGTAGCATGTTTCAAGCTATCAATACATCTATAATACATAATAAGGGGAGGGGAAGGTCTAAATTGATGACCTTATACCATCTCCAAAGACAGTAAAATCAGACTTGACTTCCAAAAGAAGGAAACAAATTTTAAAAGCCCCAGAAATTTTGGTGAAATCTTTTGGTCCTCCAAAGCTTAAAATTCAGGAACCATTATTTAATAATTTCCAGGAGATACAGGAAATAGACCTCTGGTCAGGACCAGTTCCAGAAGATGCGATTGTTTTTTATGTCAGATAAGCAGTTTCAGATAGCAATTAACAGAATGATGTTGTTAATATTTTTCTCTATTTGGGAACCATGTTTCTTAATTTTATATAATTATCTTACCTTTTAGTTATTTGGTAATAGAGAGTAAACTTACACACAATGAAATAATATCTCTACTGAAGTTTCTTGATATCAGTCTTTTTTTTATAAATTAAATGGGCTTGCATTAGTTTTTCCTTAAGCATATGTTTAAAGAGAATCTTATTAACACCCTTTTGGGGGAAAATACTGTAATACAAATTAAAAACTGTGAGTAGGAGAAGCTGAAGTATTAAGGTATAAAAAGGAACTATGAGGCAAAACAGTGAAGTCTGAGGATTCAACTTGAAGACTTGAGAGTTCCATCATTCTAG